CAGGAATGCTACGGAGTGCACCTGAAAAAGCTCTGGGGCGCACTGTTTGAGAACCACTGATTTAGACCTAAACCAATCAACATAAGCCATCACACATGTATTACAGGTGTGTCTATTTCCTCACTCAATTATACTCTTGTTCTTCCATCCGTGTTGTGGGTCACGATGGAGTTACTTGCAAATTAATATGGTTTTTCCTTTTATGCTATCCCTTGATTTTAATATACCGAGGATACTATTGTGCAAGGGGTGGTTCCTGTCTGTTTGGTTTTGAATGAGATGGTTTACATTACAAAGATATATTTATGATACCGGAAGATGGGTTCCCGAATCGGTCAATCATTTTCTCACATTGCTATCATGAGTCCCGTTCATATATTGGGGGAGTACAAGATCTCCTCCAGTCTGATGAACTTAAGGTGAAGACAATATGATTCTCTTTCCTACCCCCACCAGATGACTGGATTTTGGATTGTAGTTGACTTGCTGCCAGTATGATCCTTTTTCCTACCCCCACATGGATGCCAGTTTCTGATGGCTGAGTTTTGGCTGCAGTTGACTTGCTGTGTACAGTCTATTGGGCCCTAGCCACTCTACCCATGGAGACATGTCCTTTTACTCCCACCCTATCCATCTATTGTTCTCTCCCTTATGGATGTGTTCCTCACAATTTCTGCCAATGTCTGCAACACCTCCTTCTACACTGGGCAAAGAGTATACCTAGTACAGAAGTGGTGCACTCTCCCATGTATGATCCTCTATTGTAATAATCTACTCTTTTAGGATGTCCCTCAGACACTTTTGAAGGATGCTTCTTTCTTTCCTCGCACTGGTCCCTCCACCTATTCACTGTGGGATTCTAGCTATTTATGTGAGTAGAGGATGTGTACCATATGGGAAGTTTTAATTTTCCTATACTAAAAATATATTTTCAATAGGTACTTGCTTCCTCACACACACTTCCCACCCTTCCTCCCCACTGAAAACTGGTGCTTCCATTGTCTGCCAAAATTTGAAGTGATAGTTTGCTAGAATCAAATAGAGGGAGTTACATGTATCTGGAGAGTGTGTCACACGCTTATTGGTGGAGGGTTGTTGCATGATGACACAACCTACCTCATTGAAATCTTGATTTAAAAGAAAGAAATGATGCTAGGTACATTATAAAGGCTTAGAAAACCACTAGGGGGACATTCTGAGCTTCCGATTGGTTATTCATGTCATATATAAAAGTAAGTGTTTATAAGGGAGCATCTCCAAAAATGAAATGAGGTGAGCAGGGTGCCACTATGTTTGATTTAGTATGTGAGCAGTATCTTAGCAAATAGAAAAAATAAGACCTTATTTTATATTCAAGCTTGTCAATATCTGTAATTTGAGTTTCTAATTTGTATGAAACTATATATAGACTTAGTATTTTGACTTCACAAACATCCAATTTGAACCAGTGCTGCCTTCAACATACCATGTGACACACAAAAAATTGATGTTTATCTGTGTTTTTTAATATTTACTTTTAAATTAACAAATTGAGTAATGTATAGTTCTAAAATTTGAATTATAATCTACAGTTTGATACAAACTTACTGACATAAATTCATGAAATAGTAGTACAATAAAATTTCGAATGTGAGTCAACAAACGAGTTGACATGGCCTTTCACCTGTGACCTGTATCGAAAGGGTTAATTCAAAATGTTTTTTTTTCTCACATTTGTGCCTCTGATTTTGAATCCAAAATGGACAAATTAAGAGAAATGTCAGTAGAAAAATGCCTGTATTTATTGTATTTTTATCACAAATTTTAGACCTGTTGATTTTTAATGCTTAACCAGCATTTGGCATTTTTTTGCTCCTTAATATCATTATCTCATGCATTAAAACATTAGTAGACTCATTTAACAAGTCATTTTTCAGAAAATTGTATCTTCAAAAATAAAACAGATGCAATTATCACTTGATTTTAGTGTAACAAAGCAAGATCTTTTATACTTCAGCTAAAAACTAAAATGGGTAAAAGAAATATGAAATTGTTTTAAAAGTGTGAATTTAGTGTTTTGTTTTGTTTTCACTTAAAATGTACATGTAGAAATGATGCAATAATGCTTGTTACTGTAACTGCTTAGATAGTAGTAAGTATTCAATTACAAAATTTCATAAGCCATTTCAGTTTGGCGAATAAAAATATAAATTCCTGACTGTAGCAGTTTGCGTGTACATCATCATAATAACTTATAGAGAACTTATTCAAGGACACAGTTGTGACTCTTAATGTTATGATTTAACATCAATAACACAAGTAGATCTTTAAAATGGATCTTGCATCAAATGTTCATATCTTTTTTTTTTGTTGTTTATTTTCACTTAACTTAATTTTACAGAAAGTTTTCCTTAGTCGTTAAGGTTACAATAAAAATATTACAAAATTTGATCAAACTTGCAAAATGAAAACAAAATGGCTACACAGCTGATAAATATAAGTGTTTTGATGTATATGTTTGTATTTGGGCAATCTGTTCTATATCACTGCTTGTATGAATCAACAAATTATTTTTTTCATAAAATAAGTATTATACAAAATTCATGTTAGGAAGAAAATGTAATTTTAAGTTACTTGTGATAAAGAATTTATTCAGAAACAATTTTTTCAAGTGGTGTGTGTGTGTCTTTATGAAATATTTTTTGCCAAACAAATAAAGTAGATCTATAAAGGTTACATGAGTGTGTGTGTGTGTGTATAAAACTATATTTGTGTTTTTCTTGAAAGGTAACAGTGCTTCCAAAGTTTTGATTTACAAAATGAATTATCTCACTTATCATTTATGTAGATTAAAAAAAAAATTAAATAAAAATATATGTAGAATAAATGGGGGGAAAGTTCAATTGAATTTAATGTACATATAGGATTGATTATCATTTCTATAAAATCTCTTTCACAGATAAGATAGTTTGTAGAAAATAACACCTCCCACTTTTTATACTTCAGAACTTATAAAACAGTGAATAAGTAAAAAGTAATGATTGAGTTTCCTGAAAAAAAGTTGGATATTGGAGGTTATATAGAATTTTATGCTTTCCTTGTTTTTTGTTTTGTATATATATATATATTGTGGTTCATTGGAAAATTTCAAAAAATGGTTACGTATTTTAAAAGTTAAGTGAATGTGCATGATATCATTGAATGGTTTTATTTTATCAAGTAATGTTTTCTTTATGTAACCTAAGATACCGGTGTTTGAATTTAAGAAACCATGTGTCTTTTCATTATTTAAACGTATTTGATTATAGTGTACAATGAAAATTAGAATGTATGATTGACTTTACAGTTGCATGTAATAAGTTTTAAAAATATTTTTCTATTTTCCAAAACAATTCTTACATTTTTGGACTTTTACTTGTAGATTTAAGTGAATATTATCTGCCCTACTAAATTTCCCACTGTTTCATTAATGATATATTATTGGAATAAACCCTTTTATTTCCTGTATACTTGTTTCACAAGTGTAAAGTTAAGTACATTTCATTTATCAGTTGAACTTATAAGGTCAAAAAAGACTTGCTTCATCAGCATTACCTGTAAACTGATCTCGTAAAAATTGTTGACAATTCACCTAAGATAGTGCACTGTTTGTGTAGTTTTGTATGTACTAGTATCTGGCTAACTTGGATAAGATATTTTATGCAATGTCATGGTTCACTGTTAGCCTTTTTTTTATCTACAATTGTAAGTTACAGAATATTGATATACATTGTACAGGGAACTTGTAATTCTCAAAATTTTATATATGATGTTCTTCTTTTTCAGTTTTTCTAATGATTGTCAAGATTTTTAGATAAAATTGGTAGATATTGCCATGCTGGTCATTTTTTGCTGGAAGAAACATTTCTACCATCTTGCTAGAAAAAGTTATGTCTTTCATGCTAAAAAAGAAGAAATACAAGTTTCAAGTGGACTTTGTCTTGGAAGATCTTACAGCAGTCCCATTTGTTAATGGAATGCTGTTTGCAAAAGTCCGTTTGTTAGATGGAGGCAGTTTTTCTGAAATGTCATCAAGGTCAGTGTTTTAGATTTTATGTACTGCATGCTGTATATAGGTGATTGTAAAGTCAGTAAAGGCAATTTTAACAGTTTGTAGGGTGAAATATTTTGTATGTATGCATAAGAGATCATAGAAAGTGAAAACCCCTGATTTCTTGAAACGACATTAGGGGCACCACTTTAGGATCCTATTACTGTTTTCACTGTTATTTTCAATTATTTCATTAATACTGACAGTGGATATTACAGTATGTAACACCTCCAAGAATTGCTTAGACCTCTCGTAATAGAAATATAACCCTCATCTTCAGAAAGCCCATAACCAGCAATTAGTAGTAGTGAAGTCAGGGGAAACATGATGGTTAGGTATGATTTAAGTTGTGTTTATGAGGCTCAAATGATTTCTGAGAAGTAACACACTCTTGATGTTCAACAACATTGTCAGGGTGGACATAGTAATTAAAAATAATAATGGCAAAATTAAACAGTCGATATAGTGGCACCCCCTAATGCCTATTCCAGGAACCAGTAGAATGCAATCCAGTATGATTTCATATACTTATATGTTTCATATCCTCCCCTCAGAATGTTCCAAATACTTGTGCTGTCTATAACCATTTTGTATATTGTAAAAATTAATGCATATATATTTCTCAGTTTCATTGTTATGTGTTTGTATCATACATATTTATCCTTTGAATGAATGGTATGGGAATTAATAATAGGTTATTTTTAAAATTATGTTAGATATACTAATATTCTTCATTTGCTTGACGGTCTTGTTTTATTCCACATTATACTTAGTTTTATTTGAAAATGTTTATTTCTACTATATTTGTGTTAGTATTTTGGGTATATCATAACACTTTTCCTGAATAATTATCATCATAATACACATCATAAATTTATCAGTTTTTTTTCTTCTTGTTTTTGTTTAGGTCACTTACTTTGAAAAGTAAGTAGGTATCATTTGTCTAGAAGTTTCTACTCCAACTCTCGTGGCTATTAATTTTCAGGCCTGGTGGAATGAAAAACATTAACATTAGATATTAACAAAAGTACCTTGATTAAACAAACTTGAAAAATGTCCTTTTGAAAAAGATATTTCATGTTATTATCGACTGGGTACACTAAAAGTACAAAGTGCCACATTAGTAATAGTGAATCTGCTTTGATGTCATGATATATTAGATATAATCAGGGTTGGGCATTTGTCCAGTCTAAAAGAATTGGTCAAATAATGGCAAAGTATTGTGTAATATGGTGAAATATTCTATTTATCATTTGGTTATAATCTTAATCTGCACACACACACATGCATATATATATATAAATTTTACTTAATATAAATAATGTAAGTTACATAAAAAGAACTAGTTTATGGTTCTTCTCCAGCCCATGACAACAAAAAAGCCAGTGCTGCAATTTTGACATTGTGTATTATTAATACACTTGTTATTATCATGGCTGTTGACTGCTTAAAATTGAAGGAGAGTATAATATGGTATAGTATATTATCACTCACCTATGAAAGTTTCAACAGATGAAGAGCAAGGACCCAATAAAATTGAGCATTATATTATATTAATATCTATATATTTTCAAAATGTAAAAAGGTTAGAAATACTTGGCTTTGTTTTGCATTAAACATTCAGTGATTTTGAAATTTGTTAGTAATAGTGCAGTTACAAGACTTGTTTATAAGCAGAGGAGGACTATAGGGCCTAAAGATGAATCCAAAAACCTTGCCTAATACACCTGTATTTAGTACATTTTAGATCATTTGACTGACATGCCAACTCGTGAGGTGTGCAATCGTGCTTGAGAGTGATAACACATAAATTTTGCTTTAGGTGTGTTGTTAATTGCTCACATATATTTTTCATTATTTCTCATGTAAAAAACTTTTTAAAATTCACTCATACAACTTTACTTATTTAGTGCATGTGATGAGTGGTATTTTCGTATCATGACTAGTACAGCTGTTTACTACTGTGGCACTGACAACCCAGTACATGGGCATTGTTGTTGAGTATGCATTAATCCATATTGGAGAGTACAGTCCACTTTTGTGAATTGCCGTTCGTGTAAAATTATGGCGACCAGTACGAGAGCACACTTGTCCATGTTTTAAAGTGGGAATTGCCTGATACCATTGTCTATGAGACAAAAAAAAAGAACATGGAACAGAGTTGGTTGTGAACGTAAATATTTTTACAAATCAATACCGTATCGCTGATATATTGATATTGTACCAGCAGATGATGAATTGTCACAAATTATGCACGTTTTCAATGTAAGGTTTAGGCTGTGTAAGAGTTCATCGAAATCAGATTGATATTTGTGAAGGAATAAGAATAGTGGCTGAATTGACCAGATTTAAATCATGCATTGGCTTTACATGTCATTTAATTATTTTGTCCAAGGTCTTCCTTGACAAAGTTTTTGTGTCATCAATAACTTTAATTTCACACCCAATTTTGGCTAAATTTTTTGATGCTCAAAATGACATTGGATAAACTCTGGTTAATTTCATGTCAAACAGTGTTTTATAAGCAAATTTTTCAGGTTCAAGTGCTATACCAAAAAAAAGAGGCATAATAATTTCTTAGCTTATATTAAATAGAGCAAGTGTGCAGCTTCTCCCTAAATTTCATGAATGTACTGTCTTTGGTGGTGAAGTAACCTATCCTGTGCATCCTTATCTAACATCATTGATTATTTGCCAATATTTTTATTCACTTATAAAAGAAAAATAAATTCAGTTAGGCCCATTTTTTGTCAACTGTTGATAATCAAGAGTGCATTTTAAGGGTGTTTTAGGAATTACTAAATACTGCTTTACTTTTATGAAGACAACACAAGTATACACAGATTTTTGAAAAGACGTTAAATAAATGAAGATTTTTTTTTCAAATTTACTCTTTGTTTTCTTCACTACATTATTATACATGGATCTGAAAAATACATTTTTCATTGAATGAATAAAATCACTTACCATACTATTTTCAGGTGAGTGGTAAAAATCACTCCATAATATTTTCAGGCAAGTAAAATATCAATCACCTGCTATTTTCAAATATGAAGGACTGTATATAACAAAAACAATGGAAAGAAGGTACTATAATAGTCCCTTCTTTTGATTGTTTTTGTTATAATGCTTCAATATATTAAAATATTTTAGAACCTTAATGTGAGTGTTGAATGTTTAAGTTTCTTACATACATCAACAAGTGGACAAGCTCTAATTTTAATTATTATAGAATATACTTGTGAGACATGGTAGATTTGGGCTTGTTATAATAGTTTTTTTTTGTTTAATAGTAAATTTAATATAATATGCAGTATCATTTGATAAAATGAGTGCTATGTGTGTGTCTTTGTAATTTGGATTTTTTCATTACTGTTTTTTTTTTTTATGTTAAACATTGTTTTATTATTTGTTTTACCCACTGGTGGTTTGATATCATAAGGACAATTAAGATATTTGCCATATGTTAGTAAATTGCATTTCTAAATAACTTATAGCTACTTCATTTGGAGTCATCATAATTAGTATTATTCTAAACATTCTTGAGTAATGTCTCTCTCCTTGCCCGTGTTGTGTTTAAAATATGTGCTATAGAACTTGAATGGCATTAAATGTATATTAGCTTAAGAGAGTTTTGGTAACTAAACTTACTGGTTATGTTTTAAAAATGAAACTGGATTGTGAAATGGTTCAATTTATTAAGATATTCACATAATTTAGTAAAATTTAAGCCCTTATGGTGGTTATGTTAAAGCTCTGAAATTTCAACAGTTGACTCATTTCTTGAGGTACAACTTAAACATTATTAATAGTTGTTTGTCACATAATGTAGCAATATCAAATTAATACAAGACAAGAAGAGTAATATATATATATATATAGGTTAAAAAACAAAAATCTTTATAAGAGAACTGAGGGAATATGAATAAATATTTTAGGTGTTCTTTTTAGTATTTTTTTAATGGGATGAAATTGATATAACTTATTATTTAAGAATATAACGGATTGGTTCAGGTTTTGCAGCATTCTTTTATTTCAGGGAAGAGGTAAAAGACCACTGCGTGAAGTGGGGAAAACGATTTCGATTCTGCTGTAAAATGAGTGCCAATGTTATAACAGGAATTCTAGATCCTTGCTTATGCAGAATATCAATTCGAATGGTAAGTGAGGATTTTTGTCTATTGTGTATCTGTATTTATAAATACAAAAAGTTATTTTGTATAACAAGATAAAGCAACTTATCTAAGGAGCAGAAAAACCAAAAAAAAATATTTTATTTAACCTCATGAATCTTAAGTAATTCGTTGTTGGATTGTAAACTTATTTTGATTCTTATTGTTTGAAGTATTTAGTTGTATATCAAACTGTTTGTAGCTATTTTTTTGCAGAACTACCCCACTGATTTCAGGCCTCATCTTGAGAATCTAAATACTTTTTATATGAGGCTTGCAAGGATCTTAAACAAATTAGAAGGAACAACAATGCCACATTCTCGTAGAGCATGTTCTAATATACTTGACATAGTGTGTGATCTGAATAGCTAATGTTAAGGCCGTAAAATATAGTATTTAACTGTCTGTAGATAATTTTTATTTTCTTGTCTACTTTATTCAATAATATTTAGCAACAAACAGATTTGTTTTAAACTTTTGATTTCAAGTTAGTATGGTAGAGATATGAAATTCACCTGTTTTATGTGTGTATATGTATCCTTATCTTAGCAGCTTAGTTTTACTAGATGTATACCCTGGTAAGACTGTAGCATGTTAAGTACAAAAAATGTTGAAACTTTTTACTTCTGAATACTCAAATATGTTTATTGTTTGTAGCTTGATTCTGTACAATAAAACAGTTTTAGACCTCTGTATGTAATGTAATAATGATAGTGAAATTACATTGTTTGACTAAAGCATTATCACTTTTCATTTTATTTGGCTGAATACATGTAATAGATAAAGGCTTACTGAAATTTGTTTTTGGAAATCTTAAGAATTTCACACTATGTACCAGATGTTCACTCAATTTTGTTGTTCTTTTGTTTTAGATAGTTAACAGTATCCACTAATGTAAGATACATTAGTATAAATGTAGTATATATTTATACATAAGCTTACATATCTACTCAATTGAATCTCTTTTCATTAACTTATACTTTTAAAATTAATCTTAACATTAACAATGACTACAGAAAAAGTCTTCAACTTGCTTCTGTTTTAATATGATAATAGTATCGTATTTGAAGTTTTATTTCATTATATTTTATATTTACTTCACACAAAATTCTGTATAGTGTTCTTATTATATTATATACCACAGCTGTTATGTTTTTTACATTTAATTAAGTGCTTTTAACAGTTCTTAATCACTTGTGATCACCTAAAGTTCTCTATAGGATTTCAGAACTGGGGGAGAAATACCATTGGGTGTCAAATTGAGGGTAGAGCTTTGAAGTTTTAAAAAGTATGCATGTGCTTATTAAGTAACAATTACAATGTCCAAATAGGCATCCTTTAGTCTAACAGTCATGCTTATTACTGACTATCTTTGTAACAGCTCATGAAAAGTTTTTGATTTCCTTGCAAACAAGCTGCTTGATAATCAATTTAATGTTGTGTTCCTTTGATTGCAAGCTGTATAGGTGTGCAGTTTACAAGTCAGTATCTTGTTAAGTAGCCTACTTACCCAGTGCTAGTTGTTAAAGTTAAGTGGACCTTTATGGTTTGAAATGGCATTTACAGCTTGCTTATTCAGTTTATGTATATCACATTCCAACTTTATTATATTATTATTTCTTCTCTTGTACTATATCTAGGCTCAGCACTGGACTAATGTTAATAGCAATAAAATAATGTATATATATCTAAATATCAGGCAGAAGGTCCAGATATAGATCTTATCAATATTGCTTGAAACTTTAAAAGTTGGAGGCCTAAGCTTTATAATACTTTGTTTTATATCACTACCATAGTAATTATAGTATATGGTTCTATAGGTTTACACCATTCAAGTGGTGTATTCAGGCCTGGATGTAAAACAAATCATAACATGTCATTACACTTACACTCACAACATGTTAGATCTAAATCTAGTTTTATCTAATGTCTAGGTTAGTCTACTGAGCTCTATGTGTCAGCCATATCACAATATCTGCTTGACCCCCCCCCCCCAAAAAAATATTAAACTGGAGAATAGGAAGTGGAAAAAGAAGATATGGTAATACCTGTGCTTATAAAAGTGGTGGTGGTCATGGTAATGAAGTTGACTGTTTTATCTTTTTTTTTAACAGAAAAGAAAAGGTAGTGATAAATGGACACCTACAATTTCCTTAGGGGTGAATTTTTTTTGACACTCAGAATTCTGTTTTAAGACACCCAAAAGTTTTGATGACTGTGCCTGGGTAGCACTTAAAATTTTAAGTTTGTGTCTTGTATAAGTATCCAGTGACACTTTTAAATATGGAAGATAACTGTGCATTTTGAAATCTTTAGCTCACTCTTTCTGAAGCTACTACTTTTATGAAAGTTACACAACTAAACTTGTTTAACTTTCATCATGATGTTATAGCATTAAGTTAAATAACAATACCATTTAAAACCACCTGGTCTAAACTCCAAATAGCATATTTTAGTGAATGCTCTGGTAAATGTCAAATTCAAAAAGGGAGCTTGATCATGTATTTCAGAAAATTAAGTATAAGGTCTATGAAATAGTACCTGTATATAAAGAAATACTGTACATGCTATTGATGAATTAGTTATAACTGAAACAAGATGGGAACAGTTTATGGCCATACACATGTCAAGAAACTTAACATTTTCTGGTACACAGATTAACATCCAGGAAAACTGAATGTTGCATTTCATTGCAGTTTGTAAACAAATTTTTGCTGTTATTGTAGAAACAAATTACAATTTTATAAAGATTAAAATAGTTAAATACTGATGAAATGTAGACTAAAATGATATTTATCTAGTCATAAAATTTGATTACTTTCCACATTTTAATTGATGTAAGATTCATTAATTCAGTTTATGTAGTATTTTAGGTCTGTTTTGTAATTCTAATGAAAAATGTACTCCATTCGCAACTGCTAGATATAAAAATACCAGATATGTCATCGTCATATACATTTGATATACTTGACTAACTGTGTTAATTTGACCAATGTTAACTGAGAGAAAAGTTATTAAGAATTACCTTTGGCACAGTTTGGATCTTTTTCATCTGATAATTTAAAATAAGAAACAGAATACAGATGATGTTATATATTTTTTTTAAGTTAGAGTTTAGGTTTGTAAATGAAAGCTGTGACTATTCATTTATTTTAACTTTTTTAGGAAGCTAAGGGAGGCAGGTCCTTCCTGAAGCTGGGTTTTGTGGATCTCAACTTGGCTGAATCTGCTGGAGCAGGTGTGCACACCCGCAGATGTCTACTTGAAGGTTATGATGCTAAACACCGACAAGATAACTCCATACTGCAGGTGACGTTACAGATGACATTATTGTCAGGGGATCCTTGTTTTAAGACGTAAGTTTTTATTGTTTAGTTATATAATGAAAAAACTAACATTTTGTAATGAACCTAAATCTTCCTGTAATGTTGCTGTAAATAGCTTAGGTGATATAGGGTATCCTTGTCTTACACCTCTATCAATCAAGAAATCTTGTGATACATGATTGTCCAGGTGGATTTTTGCTGTTGCGTCGATGTAGATGTTTTCAAGAATGTTTCTATATACTTCGTTTATTCCATCTTTTCGCAGAGCCTCAAAGATAGCATAGTTCTTGACTGAGTCAAATGCTTTTTCGTAGTCAGTGTTAATTTTAATAGCCCACCCAACTCATATCCATCAAATATAAGCCTTCCTTTATCATCCCTCAAGGGTCCTACCCCCATCCTAGCATTTTGTTTACTCTTAATATATTTAAAGAAATACTGTTAATTTGTACATTTTCAGCCAACCTTTTCTCATACGTCCTTTTTGATGTCCTAATTTCCTGTTTCACCAACTTTCTTGATCTTCTATAATTTTTCTAAATCTCCCACCATACCAGTCAATTTAAATTTCTTAAATTAATGATGCTTTTCTTTAATTTTATCTCAACTCTTTGTGAGCCAACCTGATTTTTTACTTGCAGCTATCCTTTTCTTTCTATGAGGAATATGTTTACCTTGAATATTTAAAAATGTATCTTTAAACATTTTCCACATCTGATCAGTGTCTCCAAATAACTCAGCTACCCAATTCACAACAGATAATTTATGTTGCATTCCTTCACAATTTGCTTTTTTGAAATTTGTAATCAAAATATCATTATTCCTTATCTCCATATGCAGCAAAACATCGAGCCTAATAGACCAATGATCACTTGCACCCAGATGTTCCCCAATTTCCACCCTCACAATCATTTCTATATTTGAAATTAACAATAAGTCTAAAATAGCAATATTTCAAGTAGGTTCCTTGACTAACTGGTAAAGAAAGCTATCCTGAACAGTTTCCAAAAACCTTTCTCCCTTATGGTTTGACTCCAGAATTTCCCATTCTATGTGCCTGAAATTAAAATCACCCATAATTATGACTTCATTAACAGCTGAAAT